TCTTCTTGAGATGGAACTTCCACATCCAGCAACATATTTATCAGCTCATTGACTGCTTCCTCCACTAATGAGCTTTTAAAATGTAATATCTGAGCACCATTTACACAAAGGTCCTAAACAAAACAAAACACAAAAGAGATTAGCAGAGTGTCATATTTGTTTACCAAGCTCTTGAGAACACATCAGCAATGACAGCAATGCCATAGTTCAGCCTCCAGGAGAGATTTTAGCCCCAGTGATGACTGGCCACACCCTCCACACCAGCCCAGGCCAGGTGTCCTATAAAGGATGTATTAAGGACAAGGAAATCAAGTGGAGCACTGTGGATGGACCAAAATCACATGGACTTCTCCAGCAGTGAAGGCAATAACTCCAAACGCTATCAGCAGCCTCTCTTCCCATGAAGTTTCCTCCAATACAGTAGACGACAGAGTTTCCAAGTCCAGCCTCCGTAGTTTGAACAGTGTTGTCTTGCAAGAGGATTAGCCTGTCTCTATTGACCAACCTCAGCTGCTTAATTGCAAGCTTCCTCATCATTTTGTCCAATTGGTTGCAGTAGACATACGCTGTAATCGACTGACCAGGTTTCATGAAGCTGTAGTGGATAATACCAGCGCTGGATCACCAGACACCATTAGCTTTTTTTTGAGGAATATTCCATTTTGGACTGTGTTTCAGCACTTCATCTTTATCTAACCATTGTGCCAAACACTGTGATTGTCAAAAAGAATCCATTTGTCATCACATGTAAACAATACAGTGTAGAAATGGTTCACTTTTATGTTGTGACAGTAAAGAAAGGCAAGCTTCGAGATGATTTCTCTTCTGACACTCATTTAATTCACGGGGAACCCATCTATACAGCTTCTTTACCTTGCTGATTTGTTTCAAATGGTCCAGTATTGTTGGAATAGTAACGTCAAACCTTGCTGCTAATTCACACGTAGATTGAAATGGATTTGCTTCCACTACAGCTTTCAGCTCATCATTAGCCACCTTGGTCTCAGGTCACCCACATGGCTCATTTTCAAGATTAAAATCACCCAGAAGGAACTTCTCAAACCATCGACATACTGTGCGTTCATTAGCCACATCCTTCCCAAACACTTCATTGGTATTTCAAGCTGTCAGCGCTGCATTTGTTGCATGATGGAACTTATATTTGAAAATAACTCAAATTTTTGACTTATCCATGGTTTCACAAAAATTGCTCTGAAAAAAGTTGAAAGATAATCACAAGCCAAATGTGCATTTGAAAGACTGAGGATGTACCTTCACAATAAACATAAAGCAAGAAGTGTCAAAGTGAAATGTCAGAGATACCAACTATCAAACTTAGTACTTAAGGAAATCAGACATTCCATACTTAATAACCTAATAGTTCTAACAGGATTGTTTAAATCTCTTAATTCTTTCTCTCTAAGAAAAAACACAATCATAAAAATGTAAGCAGCATAGAAATAAAGCAGGATATAAACAGAATGAGGACAAAGTAGCAAAGTAGTAATAAATAGGTTCATTTAAATATCCCTTATGTTAAACAAAATAAATCAAAGACACTGCCTCCACTCATCCTATGTCATTCCAACAACTCTCGCCCGTGATGGCACCAGACATTGAAACCCACCAAAAGGGTCCATCTTCCAATCCCGAGTGGTCTCCTCCTTGACCAACCGGCGTGGAGCTCCAACATTTCCTCAATCCCTGAATGCTTCAGGAACCTGCTAGACCCTACGTTTTCTCCAGGTCTATTCTCCCTGATCCCCTGGTTCGCACCCGCTCCCAGCAAGATGATTTCTCACTTCAACCATTATTTTGCCAACATCCTTCACTCCTCAGCCTTCCACTGCACTACCTAGGAGAAGTCTAACCCTAATACACCAGGTGGTCCACCCTCTCCGCCGGCACACACAGGCCAGGGCAATGCAGATGCTTGGCACCGGGAATTCGTGGTCCCTGAACTCTACCTGAACCCCTAACACTACCCAGGAATCATTCCACATGACTGCAGTCACCTTGCTCTCCTAGCCCCCAAAATGGCCATATGCTCAAACCTTCACACCATCCTTCTTCATTGCGCTCAGCTAGCGACCTTGACTCCCACAGCACAAGGCACATGGAAGCCACAAAGCGGGGACTCACCCAATGCCTCAGCCCCATGCCCTCACCCAGAAAGCAAATTGGCCTCCATCACGAACCCCTGTTCCTCCTGTTTCCATGAATGCAATCGCTCTCCTTTTATTCAAGAATAAACCCACAGCCTGAGTTCTGAATCGCAGCTGCTCCCACTTCCTCAGAGACTGTGCTTACCAACTACCCTCTTTCTTCCTCTCTACTTGATTTTCTACCTCAGAATATGAACATACTTGATGTGCTTCAATCCAGCACCTTTCTCCAGCTACAACGACATGCTTCTCTACCTCAGGACCTTTGCACTTGCTATTCTCTCTACCTGGAATGCTCTTCCCCAGAGATACTCACAGGGCTTGCTCCCTCACTTCCTTTGTTCACATACAAGCACAGAAGTCATCCCTGATAGTGAACATAAAATCACAACTTTCTGTCAGGTACTCCTTTTCTCTATTATCTTCTTCAATTTTCTCCATTGAACTTATCACCACCAGATACATTGTTTGCTTACTGGCTTTTCAATTTGTTTGTTTTTCTGTGTTCTCCACTTGAAAGTGGGCTCCATGACAGCTGGGATTTCATCTATTTTGTCTACTTCTGTATTCACAGTAGTGGTTTGCATAGGAGCTCCACAAAAGTTGTTGACAGAATAAATGAATTATGAAAAATAAACAAATTCAGGAGAAATCATTCACTTATATTGGTCACTAAAAATGCAAATCAAAATTATGTTCCACGATCGATTTTGCTATTTAAACTAAAATTAGTAAAGCATAAGAAAACCGTGCTTGTTGGAAGGCAGTGAAATTGGTACTATTGCATTGCTGGTGGCACTGTGAGGTGACAACATCCTTGCTTTCAATGCAATTTGGCTACAGATATAAGAGCCATCAAGTAAGGCCATACTCTTTGACACAATCATCCTATTTTGGGGGAGGAAATAATCTTAAAGGGAAAACAAACCATGATACATGCATATATTCATTGCAGCTCTTGGAAAAATAGCAAAACTTTGGAAGCCATCTAAATGTTCAGAAATAAGAAACTGGTAAGTAAGTTACGGCACATCAACTCAGCAAAACATTCTGAAGGCATCACTCAAATGGTGCCCGTGAAAGCCATACAGTGACATGAAAAAGATTTTGTGAAATGTTAACTGGAAGGAAAAAAAAAAACACGATTCAAAACCTGCTGTGTGTATACAGGAATTGCAACTTTATTAAACGGTATAAAATACAATACAACAATGGTAGCATAATTGATAAAAATTCTTTTTTCCATTTTCAAAATATTCCATATTTTTAAAATTTAAAATAAATGCACTTTTATACAACAATCCTCAGAATATGGGTAATAGTAAAACCATGGAGCGAGATGAATTCTCAGACGGAGGGAGAATTTTTAAATGACCGGGAAGGATGGGGGAGGGAATTAGGTCTCCCCACAGTGAGCATGAAGATGAGGAACTGAAAATTTCTAAAATGTAGACAGTAAATTTCGATTATGTAATAGTGATGTGCTATAAACTGAAGATTGCCATATGTGCAGAAACGGGTAAACACAGCAGGCCTGAAACTGCTCTCTTTAGACAGGACTGCTTGTGAGGTCGGCCCTTGGCCGACATCGGGGAGCTTGGATTCTGGGTGGGTTCCCACTGTTGATAAAGATGGTTTACAACGCCCAGACTGGGTGTGTCAACAACGTGGTTTATGCGGAACCGGCAGTCTGGGACTTTGGCCCATGCTAGGCAGAGTGTGCCTATGTGACCAGACCCAACACGAACCTGGGGCACTGAGTCTCTCGGGGGCTTCCCTGGGCAGGAATACTGCACAAGGGTTGCTGTAGTTTCGTTGCTGGGGGTGGAAAGTGAGCTCCGTGTGAGCCTGCCAGGTGATCCTCCCGGGAGGGACCCTACACAGAGAGTCCCCCAGACTGCCTGTCCTTTTTCTTTGTGATCCACCTGTGTCTCCTTACTATGTCACGGTATTAAGTCTCAGTCTCAAGGACAACTCCATGCTGAGTTCCGTGAGTTCTCCTAGTGGGCCTGGTCTTAGGGACCCCTCAATTAAAATCTTGACTGAAGAGTCCTTATCAACAGGCTGCCCATCAGGAATATCGTAAATGATACCAAAGTGACATGCCTGAAGGGGACTTCATGCAGCCGTCCTGGCACAGGGAAGAAAATGTCCCGTTTGCAAATAAGTTCGAGAAATAATGGGTTACAATGAGTTACATGGAGATCTTCTGAGGGTATTTAATATGTCAATGAGGGTGTTAATGTGAAATGAATCTGTAAATACGATCTTTACCCTAAGCAGTTTGCACACATCCCCTGCCTTTCCCAGAATTCCTAGCGATGGCTCCAGAATTTTCTGCCATGGAACACCAGTTTGGGAAACGCTGCTCCAGGGAAATGTTTAAAGAAGAAACCCTGTACAGAAGCTATTCAAAACAATTTTTGCATATTAATTAACCCTAGTTTACTAGAAGCTCTTCTGCGAAATAGCTCTATTCTTCATAAAAAAATGGAAAAATTAGAAATGTGTTCCACAATTTCTCTCCCATTGACCTGAAAAGAAAGAATTTATTCCTCATATCTAAGTGACTGCTTAGATACATTTCTCTTCATTTTCAAATTATTGTCAAAGGATTCCCTGTTTGAATCACATCTATCACAGGGCATCATGAGTAGAGAAAAAAATCTTAATTATGCTTCAAAAAAATGCCGACTATAGAAAAATGAATGGCAAAAAAATTAAAATAAAAATACCAATATTCTAATAACCTTTGTCATTTGGAGAAACTCTTCACAGGTGAGTGGCTCCTCCCGGGGAAGCTGACAAAGAGGCGTGCTGCTCATTTCTTCTAGCACGGCATCGATGCGGAACTCAATCAAGTCATTGACCCTGTCAAGCAGCAACTCCAGGTCCTCTTTGGAAAGATAAAAGTGAATAAAAGAGATGAAGTAAAGCATTTTGTCTGGAAAAAATCAACACTTGATTAAACGACAGTGGTAAAATCAGGATTAAAGATTCTCAGTTGTCGTCCCCCAGGTGTGTCCCACTGTTTCGCACCTGGCTGTCTCACACTGCTTCTTCTTTAACTGGTCCCCAGCTCCCAGCCTGCCTAACCCTGACTCATCCTTGAGGACCTGGCTCCAGAGCACCTGCCCCAAGAGGCTTCCCGTGAATCTGCACACATTCGAGCGGCCTCCTCCTCCGGTACCGCCGCGGCAGCCAGAGCACCCTTTCAGCTCTGCGAACACCATACTGTCTGCCCATGTGTCTTACCTTCTTCCGCAACTCATCTTCTTCATCCTCACATCTTCAACATTTAGCCCTGTGCCTATTCCACAGGAGGTATTCAACAAATATTACTGAAGTGAAATTCCCCTACTTTTTCTTTTACTGTTAATATCACAGGGTACCTTTTTTCAGTTGTGCTGAAGTAATATTGAACACTACGTTCCATGGATGAACAGGCCAACCCTGAAGGACACTAACAACAATTTTGCATCAAAAGTAGGAATAATGGCTAATGGAGATCCATCTACGGGGTAATACATTTTTCAACGTACACCATATAGTAATAGTAAAATCTCTCTATTTCTAATACTACTTTCCCCTAGAAAATAAAGTTGAAATTGAATACAGAAAAGTCAACTATATACTCATGATGTATGAGAGACATAAGCACTTTCTTAAATAAGTATCTTTACTTCCTAAAGAATTCAAGCCTAAAGGTTTTCAATCATTTCTAAGCTAATTATTAAAGAGGCTACTCAAAATACCAAATAGTTCTGCCTGGTACCCTCATTCAGTACTAAAAGAGAGCCAACACATTTATTTAAGTCTGTCTGCCCAAAAAAATTCTTTACTCTTTCTAACTGACGGATTCTTCAAAGCACCTTCAAGGACATCTGTGATAAACTGAAAAAACAGTCCGCAGGATGTCCGCATCCTAATCACCTGTGAATGTTACCTTATACGGCAAAAGAGATTTTGCACATGGCATCAAGCTAAGGATCTTGGGATGTGAAGATTGTCCTGGATCATCCAGGTGGGGCCAACGTAGTCATGAGTATCCTTATACTAAGGAGGCAGAAGGGACAGAGTCAGACAGAAGAACTGTGACCACGGAAGCAGAGGAGCAGAAAGAAAGAGATTGGAAGATGCTATGCTGGTGGCTTTGAAGATGGAGCAACCGTGAGGCCACCAGTGTAGGCAGGTTCTGGAAGTTGGAAAGGGCTAAAGAAAGGATTCTCCCCTGGACCCTCCAAAAGCAACCATCCCTGAGGACACCCTGATTTTAGACCCATAAAACTCATTTTTGGCTTCTGACCTCTATCATTGTGCTATTTTAAGCCACTAAGTTTGTGGCAAATTGTTACAGCGGCAATAAGAAACTAACACAACATTTATGCATAGAATGTATAAAATCATGTCTGTAGAAGTCCTGTTTGTTATTCTGAAGAGTGACCAGTACTCTCTTCAACGCATGATACAAACAACCACCTATAATTAGGAGAGCTGGCTCACTAATCCAATAAAGAATCCAACTGTTCTTGAGATTTAACATAGTTTGTTTCCCAAAAAACCTTAATCTTTGCTCTACTCTAGTTCCTTAATCCAAAGTACAAAAAAGAGAAGCATAATAGAATACAAGAACTAAGAAGAAACTATCTCCTTGTCTCCAGCTAACACTCCAATAAAACATCCAAATTGTTAACACTCTAACCCTAATATTCTCTAGGGAGAGTATAACTAAATTCTACCTGGGTAGCCTATTCTAATTTGGTTGTGATAATTCTTATTATGAAGTTTTCATACATTTTATAAATGCCTCTTTAGAGAATTTTAGCCAATTTCCTCTTGTTTTATTTCCTAAGGAGATGCGTTTTGGAAAGAATATTAATTTAGAGTAAGAAAACTGGGTTCTAAACTTATATTTATTGCTTACACCTACATTAGAAGCCATTTAGCATCTCTGACTTGATATCCATTCACATTCAAAAACTCCTTTACAATTTGTCTTTGAATACAGCTCCCAGTCTATAAAGCAAAACAAAGAGGGTGACGCTAGGGAGTTCAATCACAATTTCTCACTTTACTCCCCCTCAAACTAGTACTTCTCAAGTATTCTGGAATATAAAGCACTTCGTTATTAAATAGCTGGACCCTTCCAAGCCCTAAATTATTCATATTTGGAAGGTACAGTGAAAACCTACTGATAAGACAAGCTCTTGACAATGTAGATTATAAATAGACTAGGTATTACTTCAGCAGCTATAAATACCACAGAAAGAGAAAAACCTGCTGAAAAAAGAATGGATCAAAGGAGGCATCACAGTAGGTATCTAGAAGGGAGGGCCAGGAAGAGATAATGCAGAAATGAGGTGTTGGGATCGAGGGGGAGGAATCGGATTAGGATTGTAAAGAAATGGAAAGAAACTATATTGAAAATATTGCAGTTATGAATCTGTAAGTGTATGGGTGTCTGCTGCACATCCAACTGAGAGTAATAGAAAAGGAGTACAAGAAACAGCCTGATTTTCAAGCCCTTTGCAGTCAGTTTAGGGAGAAAGATGAAACTATACTAAACCATTAGAAGACAACCAAAATATAGAGTCTCTGGTCCCAACTGTAAACACAACAGGAGGTCACAGAAGGAAGTGGCCACATAAGGTAGAGTACTCAGCGCAGGCTTCTTGGGCGTAGGGCTTACTCTGCGCTATAAAAAGGGGGCAGAACTGAGCCATATGGACAAGGTGGAGGGCATTGGGTAGGGGAGGAGAATGGCGATGTCTGTCTTTGTGAAAAAGCCCTGCATTACCATGCTCCAAACTGTGTTCTGCTGCCTACCGCAGAAGGTCTGTAGGGGGTTAGTATGTTCTCCTGGAAAGCAGCCAAGGAATTCTGGGAAATGCCACATGCAAGAGCCCACACTTGGAGACTCACTGGACACCGGCATATTAAAGGCTCCAAAAAGTCCTCCAGAATAGGAACCTGTCTGCTTAACCTGAATCTCCTAGATGTAACTGAGTCCCTTCTTTGCAGCACACCTGTACACATTCTGGAAAGTCCTATTTTATGGAATATACTACCTTACATACATTTTTAAAGAGTATTATGTCTTTCATTAAGGAAAAATAGTGTTTATTTAAACTTTTTTTCATTTATCCTCTTGTTCAGCACTCTATCCAAATCTCCACATCTTTTGAAATCAGGGTCTCAAAATACACTAATATATTTATGTAAAAAGCTGAATAGCTCTAAAGATCCTTTAAATTCTAATGTCTAAAAAAAATAATTAAAAGTATGTGGTTAATATCTAGGGATAAAATGAAATAGTGAATATTTATAGTTTCCATGAAATTACTGAAGTCATATACTTGGGACAATTCCTTATGAAACAGCTTACGAATAACACCCTTCATTTCATTATTTATATCAACATATTGGTAAGATACTATACAACAGATGTTAAGAACTCAGCCTTTAAAATTGAGAAATAGTAACTGTTCAAACTTACTGATCTTTGCAAAAGTGTTTTCTAAATACATCTCAATATTCAGTGATGTCCAGGTCAGTGCAGCCAAGCCAGGTTGGAGGGCTTCGTCCACTTTGGCCAAATGAGGGACCATCAGCTGCTCAATGCTGGGAGGCATTTTTGACTTCACTCTCTGATATTCAGCCAGCACCATCTGCAATGAAATGGGGGTTAAATAATCAATTAACATCTCACTTTCAGTATCTATTAATATCCCGTTTTTATAAAAAATGATTACTTTTTTTAGGGTCAAACTGCAGGGCTCTAATAGCCTAGCAGGCAGAGTAGCCAAAAACAAAAAAGAAAGAAAGAAAAGAAAGAAAAGAATAGAACAGAAGACAGGGACTTTCTCATAATTACAAATTTCGAATCCAATAAAATACAATTGAAGATGAAAAAGAATTTAAGACTAAGAGTTTTTCTCGCCTCCTGCACAGCCTAAAAAAAGAAGAAAGCTGAAGTCAAGTAATGTTTCTAAACTGTGTGAAGTCATGGTACAGTGCCTTAGCTTGTGCACCACTCAGCTCATTCCTCCAACTGTATACACTGGTACGGTGTGCGTCCCGCTCCCGTGGGCACCACCTGTGGACCACACTCATCACCCAAAGCATCTGGGTCACCAGAGGTCTACCTCAGCCCTTTGCTACAACTGTCGGCCAAGTCCTGATGCAAGACCCAAAGCACACAGGGAGAGAGTCAGGAACCAGTGTTGATTTCAACAAGTGTCGTGGCTTTGCATATCGTCCGTATGCCAAAGACAAATAAATTTACATTTCCAGCCCAGATTTCACTCCTTAAGTCTAGAATCATATATGGCAACAGCCTACTCAATATCTCTACTTGGATTTCTGACAGATGTTTCAAACTTAACATATCAGAAACTGAGAGTCTGTTCTTCCCCCAAAACTTTTTCTGCCCACAGTGGTGATTCCATCCTTCCAGTTTATAGGCCAAACCTCGAACTCATCCTTGACTCCTCTTTCCCTCTCACACACATGCCACCCATCAGGATACCCTCTGTGCTCTGTACTCAAAAGAGGTTCTATATCTAACTTGCTTACCACATCCACTGTTACCACCATCACTGACTCTTACCCAAATTATTGGGATGGTCTACCATTGTCTCCCTGCTTCCACCCATCCCCCCAGATAAATCTAGGCTCAAGTTAGCAGCAAGAGTGATCCTGTCAAAATGTTAAGTCGGATCATGTCATTCCTCTGCTTACATGATTACATGACTTCCCATCTAATTCAGGGCTACAAGTCATTGTACAAAGGACTTCAGTAGGTCCTTAGTCTAAAAAGACCTACCCAATTTTGTTCCATTACTTCTCTGATCTCATCTCCAATCACTCTTTCTGTCTCCTACCTGTGCCTGCCCTACTGTCTTCATTGCTGGGCCTTAGCCTCGGGGCCTTTGCATCTCCTTCAAATAATTACTTAAATGCCACCTTCTCAATTAAGCCTATCTTGACTACCTATTTAAGATTGTAAACCACCACCAAAACTACACACACACTTCATCCTCCTATTTTTGTCCATAG